AGGCCGGCAGAAGGGGAATGCCGTCTCTAAGCAGAGGATGTTATTTGTCTGCAGGAACAGGGCTGGAAACCCCTGGTTTAAAGGTAAAAAAAAAAGGTTAATCCACAATAATCCACATCAATCTATGTCAGGGCTGAGCAGTTCTGGCCCTCGACATCCACTTCCTGCTGTTTTTAGCTCCATCAAACATACCTGCCACTTCCTTTCTACTAATATTGAAGACATTCATTAGTTTGTTCAGATGTGTTTGATTAGGTTTAGTTTTTTGTTTTGTTTTTTTGTTTTTTCGTGGAGGGCTACCATCCTGAAGACTTTAACTCCAACCCTACTCAAACATACCTATATATTCTATCTATATATACTATATATAGTTATATATTATATTATATTTTCACCAAATAAAAGAGAGAAATAGCAATGTCTTGATATGCAGTTCTCAGCAATTAGTTATAAAACTAATTACATGTCTAAAACTTGACTTATTATAACATGACTATACAGTACTGTTGGTAAAGAGAATATCAAATCCCACCATCTGATATCAAACCAGACATGAGCACTTCTTTGTATCTTTTACATTTGTTCTGCAAAGTTTCTACATTTAACTGCAATCAAAAAGTCTAACTCCTAACTCTTAAATTCTAATTCCTTTGAAAAGATACCTCCAAGAATAACAATAAATAGATTGATACTGTAACACTAATACCAACCCAAGAATGCTAAGAATGAACAAGAAAAATACATGAAGGTAAAGACATGAGGAGAAAGAGAACAATAATGAAAGAACATCATTGACTGGGCTGTGCGTATACTCTCATCTTGTGACTCTCCATCACTGCAGCTCTGGGTCATATTAACAGATCTGACCCAACAAGCATGATTCTCAGACAGCCATGCTCCAAGACTATCGCCCTCTTTCTTGTCTTCATTTGTAGATAATGAATGGACATTTATTCTCACAGGATCCACATATGATCACAAGATCAGGAGCTGCAGAAGCAGGATTCACATTTACAAATCCATCATTTTGAAATAATATTTTTGTACAGTTGTGAATTCAGTGTAAAACTTGGCAGTGATGTTGACTGAAGAGAATTTCAATGCAAAAGAATCTAGGGAAAACAAAAGAAAAATAAAACTTTAAATGACCCCTCAACTAATACTTAGTTGATACAACATTTAGCTTTTAATGAAGCAGATTTTCATTTCATTCATTATTTTTTGTCACCTCTTGTTTTGTGAGTTTTATTACTCTTCCTTTTAAAAGAGCTTCAGATTGTTCAAATTGTCAGGGGATCTTTTCAGTATAGCCCTCTTCAAGTCAATCCAAAAGTTTATTTGATTGGATTTGGGTCTGGGCTCTGACTAGGCCTTTCCAAAATGTTCTTCTTCTTATGAAGTCATTCCTTTTTTTATTTTGATTTGTGTTATTATCGTGCTGAAAGATGAAATCCCTCTTCGTCTTAAATTTTTTTTTTTAAAAGGCCTGCAGGTCTTGTGCCAAAAAAGGTTTGGTAATTGGGACTATCCATGATTTCTTCTATTGTAGCTAATGACAAGTATTCATTATTGTAGTTTTCCATCAGTTTTTGACAGATGACCTGTTTATTTCTCCTTTATCTTTTTGGATGTCATTGTGTTGTCCCTTGTTGATGATGGCCTGCATGGTATTCAGTGGTACCTGTAATGTTTTGGGAGTTTTTGTTCAGGGTTAAGTAGCGTTACGTAAACTCTTATTTTCAGTAAGTGTTTGAATGTGATCAGTAAATTTTTCCGTCTCCCAAAATAAAAGGGTGTGCACACATTCTAATAGGTAATTTTAGATTTCCTGTATTCAATAAAGGATTATGCATGTACGAGTTTGTGTATAACCTGTTGTAAAACACACAAGTACAAATAATGATAATTAATTGTGTAAACGTGTGAAGCTGGTAAAATGGCTAAAAGAAAATCATGTCACATAGTAGCATAAATGAAATCAATAATATTATAAAAGGATAATCATTTCAATAATCCTCATTAATTCGTTTTGTCTGCAGTTTCAACGAAAGCTTTTTTTTTTTTTTTTTTTTAAACATTCTAGGTTCTACATTAATCATTATGCAATCAGAAAATCCCAGCAAGATCCCAAGGAAGCGAGGCTGCATAACAGTGATGCATTGTAAGAATTTTCCTAAACATTCCTAAACTACAACCCACTATAGGATTACTTGAGGGTGTGGGAGGAACCTAATATGCACAAGTCTATGATGACATACATTGGGGTTTGGTTTTGGGTGCTGATGTTGAAGAATGTGCAAGACACTTGGGTCTCTAGAGTAAAGCTGGATCAGTGACTGGTGTAGCAATCAATGCATACCCTGATGATGTGGAGGGCTCTCATCTTTCTAATTCTTACATTCTCATCAGGAGCACTTTCACGTGAGTATTTCTGTTATTATAACTATATTATAATGTATTATATTATTGTATTATAATTTCTGTTATTATATACTTTATATATTGGAAACCATTAATAAGAATCACTGATTGTACAGAATTTGAAAGTATAAAGCAGATACATTGAATACCTCACAGTAAATAAAATTACTCAAGATTTGTAAAACTTTTTTTCATATGTAATTCTTCTTTTAGAATCTTTGGGTTAAATCCACAGCTGATAAATAGTTGCATTATTTTAAATACCAGCACTTTAAACAATTCCGTTTCTTACAATTTTATCTAAATTAATTGCATGATAAATGCTTTAAAGTGGCTGTTGCAAGGCTAACTTTTAAAGTGATAATTGGCCATTCTTTGATTTTATTAAGTATTGTGTTGCTGCATGATGCCAAATGTTAACGAATTGTGCTGGCAACACCAGGTTATGGCTTTGATATTCTGGAAATGTATTGCTTTGAATAAAAACATATGCCAAATAAATAAAATGTAAATGTAAGTAATGAGTCTTAAAACATATAATAAATTACATATTGCCTACACAATCAGATACACAAACATTCAGATGCACACATACATACAAATGAAAAGTTGACAGGTGTCAGAGCTCTGTGGGATCTTACCTCATTACAGCAGTGGGGTTTAGAGTGGTAACCTCAGCTGAGAGTCACATGAAAAGGATTGAATGGGATTGTAGAGGTCGTGTGACTCTATTTGCCAATCCTCACATTCTCTTGATTTTTTTTCTTTGATTTTTTTTAGACCTTGTCTCTTGACTCGCTTATGAACTTAAGCCAACCTTTACCAACTGAACTTTTTATTTACTTTACTCCTTTTTTAAATTATACTATGTGTTATGTTGTACTATATTTAACTAAGAGTCTGAAATATCTATTATACCATTATTCTAATCTGCTATCTTATGTAGGCTAGTCATGTATTTATCTAATATGCATCATTTTAATATTTGTAGCGTTGCTTATAAAGTTGAAGTAAGGGAATTAAATTGATAAATGTGTACTTCGCACATCTAATGATTTCTAATAACTGGGTCTGTTGGGAGATTGAAAAATCATAAAAAAGAGTTTCCCCATAGATGAGTTTTAAAGAAGACCTGTGTGATTTGAATAAAGAAATTAACTTTATTAATGACTCATTTGAAAATTAATTTTAATGCACTTTCACAAATGAAAACTTTATTATTTATTTTCATCATTCTAGAATCAAAAACACGCATTGCACATTATCGTTCATGGAATTCACAGATGTATCCAGTTTGGAGAGACGGAGATCCCAGATACAGAGACTGTTGGAAAGGTATTTGAGCACATCAAGCATACACAAGTAATTGACACATTCTAAAAATGTTAAAGCGCAAGACATTGAGCTCAAAGTACAACCTCAATTCCAGAGAAATTGGGGCGTTTCGTAAAAATGCAATAAAATCAAGAATCTGTGATTTGTTCATTCTCTTTAACTTTTATTTAATTGGCAAAAGTACGAAGAAGAGATTTCCAAAGTTTTCACTGACCAACGTAAATGTATTTTGATGGCTGCAACACATTCCAAAAAAGTTGGGACAGAGGCAAAATAAAACTGAAAAGGTTATAGAATATCCACTTTAAACTGTTTTGAAACAGTTCACAGTAAGCAGGTGAATTGGTAATGGGTCAAGGTATCATGTTTGGGTATAAAAGGTGCATCTCAGTCTTTGCAAGCAAAGCTGGATCATGGCTCATCACTTTGTGCCAAATTTCATGAGAGAAGTGTCAAACAAATCAAAAATCACATTTCACAATGCAAAATCACAAAGAATTTAGGTCTTTCACCAACTACCACACGTAATATTGTGAAAAGATTCAAGGAATCCAGAGAATTCACAGTACATGTAGGGCAAGGCAAGAAACCTCAGTTGAATATGCTTGACCTTTGAGCCCTCAGATGGCATTGCATAAGAAACCGTCCTGCTGTGGGGTTAAATATAGCCACATGGGCTCAGGAGTACTTCAGAAAACTGCTGTCACTTAACACAGTCTGCTGCTGCATCAAAAAATGCAACTTGAAATTCTGTTACTCTAGGAGAAAGCTATACATCAATTCTATGCAGTGATGTCGCCGGGTTCTCTGGGACAGAGCTCATCTCAGATGGTCAAAATGACAGTGGAAAGGTGTGCTTTACTCAGATGAGTCCACATTTCAACTTGTTTCTGGGAAAAAAATTTGAGTTCTCAGTCCCAAAGTCCAAAGGACTTGCATATGTGTGAAGGTACCATTGACATGGAGGCATATATTGGAGTTGTACAGAGAAATATACTGCCGTCAAGATGATGTCTTTCATGGGAAGTCCATGGTTATTATATCAAGACAATGCCAGCTCTCATTCTGCATGTGCTACAACAGCGTGGTTTCGTAGACTCAGAGTGAATGTGCTAGACTGGCCTGCCTGCAGTCCAGATCTGACTCCTATTGAAAATGTATGACCAGTCATGAAAAGGAGAATCAGACAACGACAATCACAGACTGCTGAGCACCTGAAGCCTTGTTTCAAGAGAGACTGGACAAAAAATTTTGCTTGCTAAACTTTAACAATTAGTATCCTTAATTCCCAAACAATGAAACATTGTAATTAAAAGGAAAGTTGATGTGACACAGTGTTAAACGTGCCTCTGTCCCAACTTTTTTAGAGTGTGTTGCAGCCATCAAAATCAAAATTTGTTCATATTTACAAAATACATTTACGTTGGTCAGTGAAAACTTTGGAAATGTTTTCTTTGTACTTTTGTCAATTAAATAAAAGTTAAAGGGAATGAATAAATCACAGATTCTTGATTTTATTGTATTTTTACAAAATGTCTAACTTCCCTGGAATTGTTTTCAAACTCCTATGGAAAATAATGTACAATAATTCCTTCTTACAAATAGAAACTTTTTGGTTTGCATATGAATAAATTAGGATATGCTACGTCAAAATTATTTATTGAGCTTACTTTAATTTTTTTGGAAGAAGATATGCTACACCTGCTACCTTTCTTTTAAACTATGTCTGGAAATGCTTTTTTGCCATAGGTGGAGAGGTGACATTTGAAGTCAGAAGTGATTCTCCTACACTGACAGGAGCCAAAGCTACTTTCAACATTGATGTTGGCTTCCCTCAGAACCAGACAGTACTTCCTGATGGACAGGTGGTGTGGGCAAGAAACTGTACAATTAATGGTTAGTTATACAAACTTCCATAATACAATACATTTACATTATACATATAAAAATTATAATGCACATATATATATATATATATATATATATATACACACACACACACACACACACACACACACACACAATTTGTCTTTTAGGAACATCCTATACTATGGGCCAGACTGTATACCCTGAGTCCAACATCCCTCAAGAATGGACAGGTGTCTTTCCTGACAGGACACCCTTCACTAAGGTCTCTAACAAAAAGCCCCACTTCATCTATGTATGGAAAACATGGGGTAAGAGCAAGTTTAAACCTGTATTTTTATTCTAGAATAAAATATATTAACCTACACATTTAGTGGAGAGATGGATTTACATATGCAAGTAGGACACACACTTGGATCAACAACCTATGAAGACTTTAAGGTTAGACTTGTGGAGGCTTGTACAACATTCTTATGAACCATTTGTTTTTAAATAATTTCTCCCTGATTTTAGAGGTAGCTTGGTGTAAGGGACAGCGTTGGGGCTATTAGTGACTGATTTTTAGTTACTCTTTTGATTGTTTCTCTCTTTCAGGAAAATATTGGCAGGTGGCTGATGGTCCTTCCTCTCTACTGACCATTGAAACAGACAATATGCCTCTTGGTTCTTACACAATGGATATAGTAATTTATCACTGCCGTGGCAAAGACAAGTTTGTTCCCCTTGGTTATGCATCTACCCAGTTCTCCATCACTGGTGAGTAGTTTGATAATTGCACATTTATCTAGAAATCCTCTATCATCTCTATCCGTTAGGAAAACCTTACACTGTAGTAAGAATTCATGCCATTAAAACCACTGCCTTGAACTGAACGGGAAAGTAATCAATGTAACTGGAGAGTAAACCAATGCTGTCATTTACTGAACATATTCCCACAAGACCCTAACGACCCTCTTCTTCTCTAGACCAGATTCCTTTTACAGTGACATTATCTCAGGTTGGTGACATCAATCAGGGTGACCAAAGCTTTATCCAGAACAGAGCTGTGTCCTTTGGCATTAATTTGCATGACCCTATCCATTATCTCAGTGGGTCAGACATCACCTTCAACTGGGATTTTGGTGACAATAGTGGAACTCTCATTTCCCGGGAAACTACTGTTACCCACACATACCTTACAACTGGTTCCTTCAGGCCACAGGTGGTTTTGATGGCAACAATCTCAACTGGTTGTCAGCTCAGTCCAACTCCAGCAGCCACTGTTGTACCTCCTGTTCCTGTCACAGGTGGAATTTAATATTATATTCAAATCTCATATTTCATGGCATTTGAAAGACAATTCTCAGTCCAGAAAGTGGTTTGAAGAGATTTCCAAAACGTTTATAAGCTGATACCTTTTCCTTTTTGCCAGATGAAACTACAGCAGTGGAAAACATTGTGCTGACTGTTTCTCCTCAGTCGGTTGATGTTGCGCCCACGGCAGAGGAAGGAGTTGCAGCTGATGTCACTGTCGTTGCCAATGACTTGGCAGTGTCAGCAATTGACACAGAAGCAGAATTAGATAATACTGGCCAGGAGGTGCCCACTGTTGCTGGAGACACAGCTGTGGCTGAAGCTGACAATACTGCTGCAGTTATGTTAGCCACACCTACGGTTGTTGAGGCTGAACCTGCGACAGAAGTTCCTGTGGCTGACATGGCCCCAGAAGGAGACGAGATTATAATCAATCTGGCAGCCACAGTACTCCCAGAACCCCCTGAATTATCTGTTCGGACAGTTATAGAAACAGTAGCACCAACTGGTGATGCAGTAATCATTATCACCTCTGAGGCAGTGGTCACAGATATTGTAGCATCTGTTTTACCTGCAATAGAAGACATAGAAGCAGTTAATGAGACTGTTGCTGGGGTCAACGAGGCAACCGAAACCATCACTGGTAAAAAAAAAAAAAAAAACTTTAATTAGACAGTCATTACTTTATAAAATCCATAACAATTAATTCTGTCATATATTTAATGTTTTTCCATTGGTGCTTTAATTGCAGGCTTAACTAGCATATCTGAGGCAACAGTGAGTGAATTAGAAGCTGAAGCAACCCAGGCCGCTCTAGTCATTGCAAAGCGGCAAGCACCAGAAATGCCAGCAGAAACAAACTGTATGATTTATCGTTATGGCTCCTTCTCTACAACTCTTACAGTAGTCCGTGAGTATTTTTATTTATTTATTTACTATTATTAATTTAATTTAATGTAAAAAAAATAATACTAGACCTGAATATTAATCATCGGGGCAAAAAAGAAAGAACAGATTTATACAAAAGTACACATTAAAAATGTTCAAAATTGCATTATACACAAAATACATTAAAAAAAAAAAAAAATCAGCAGTCCATAGAACCATATGGTAAAAGTTGTGAAATTTGGCACACAGATAGAAAACAGTCTGAACATTAACCACACCAAATTTGAAGTCTCTAACTCAAACCCGCTAGCGCCACCACTTGTCCAAATTTGCATTCACGTTTGTGCTAATAACTTTTGAGCTGTAAGGGCTAGAAACAAAATACTTTTTTTCCTCTGATTCCTTGATGATTCAAGATGATTCAAATGCAAGTTAAAAAAAATTCGGGTCCCACTTTACATTAAAGGGGTCATATGATGATTTTTTAAAGATCATTATTTTGTGTATTTGGTGTAACAGAATATGTTGACATGCTTTAATGTTAAAAAAACACATTATTTTTCAAATACTGTACATTATTGTAGGTCCTCTATGCCCCGCCTCTCTCAAACGCTTCGTTTTCTACAAAGTCCCTCCTTCCGACAAGTGCAGTCTTCTCTGATTGGCCAGCTGCCCCAGTGCATTGTGATTGGCCGAACAGCGCAAGCACTCGTCGGAAATGTAACGCCCCTTACCATAATCGCGAGCTTCATCTTTCAAAATAAATGTAAAGACAGTAAATAATGTCAATAGTTTTACCATCAGTTCAAGCCCGAAAGGGGAACAGACACAGTGAGAAAGGAAAACTTGAAATCACATCATATGATCCATTTAACTACTATGTACTTACATTTAAATTAATTTGATACAATGCACTTATTGTGTACATACATGTTTTCACATTGTACTTATATTTTTTAAATATCTGCATGCAATTACATCTATAATTAATTTCTGTAATTACATTTATAATTACACTTTTGACCCACCCCTTACACCTAACCCACCTTTAAACCAACCCATACCGCCAAACCTGTCCCTAACTTTACACGTATCCCACCTCAATAGCAGCAAAAGTGCTTTGCAATACATTATGAACACAATAAGTAGCTACACTGTACTTATTTTTTTGATGTAAGTACATAGTAGTTAAGGCCACTTAATATAAAGTGGGACCAAAATTCAAAATGAAGTTAAATAAGTCATGATAAGTACTAATGATTGAATTAATGAATTTTAAAACCACTTTAAACGGGTCATATGATGCTTTTTTAAAGATCATTATTTTGTGTATTTGGTGTAACAGAATATGTTGACATGCTTACTTTAGTCTTTGCAACTTCAGGGATCTTATCTATTCACGAACAGCTTGTAACACTCCAAAGAGAAAGGAAAACTTGAAATCGTATCATATGACCCCTTTAAAATGTCTTTAATTACTCATTGTTGCATTTGGTCTGATCCTCCCTGCCATGCTTGCTCCTCATTCTGCCTCTGTTGTGCTTGGGCCCTTAACTTCTGCTATATTTGATCCTTATATTCCAACCACCACGAACATGGCTTCACTTCAGTATTGCTGGCTTACCTGTCAAAATTTTGTTACATATCACCTAAAATAATGACGAAACAAATTGTGTAGCAGCATCAAATCCATAAAATGCTGCAATTTTAACACTGCTGTACTAACGCAGCAGCTATATACATTTTGTATGTCTTTCTTATCTAGCACAGCTGATTCAGATTATCATCTCATTAGGAGAGAGCTCCATGAACTGGACTGAGTGTGTCAGATAAGAGAGGCATTCAAAATGTGCAGATTGGTGGGTGTGCCATGGCTGGAATTGAGAAACACTATACTAACGCTAAACAGGCTTTCAAACAGCCACAAAAATATTCATCCACTTGAAAACATGTCTATATAAACATCTCAAACTCTATATAAACTGAACCAATCCTAAATTGTTAACCTGTAAATGTGTTCAGCATTATTCAATATTAATTTTTTGGAGTTTCTAAGTTGTAAAGTGAGATGAGTATAGTGAACTATGTTTGAAAAAAAAAATTATGTCATTCTGAAAATATAATCATACAGGCCCTACTATTCTCATATCAAATATAAATGTAATGTTCTACAAAACAACAAGCTTTAAAACACTTTTTTTCTTATGCTAAAAATTAGATAACTTAGATCACTGTGAAATCCATTTTCTTAGATACATCACCAGTGTTAGCTTCATAGTGAATACTTCTACATCACATTCGTCAACGTAGCCCATAGTTACAACAAAAATGTATCTCGACTTTATCTAGTCATTGTTTTGGGAAAAAACAGTAGGGGGGGCCTTTTACCCCTAGGGTTACTCCACACTACCGTGTGTGCGTGTGTGTGTACTTGTTTATGCTACATTGTGGGGACCCACAAGGATGTCCCCACAAGGATAGTAAAACCTGACATTTTTGACAAGGGAAAAAAATTATTAAAAATAGTAAATTATGTTTATCTGAAAGTGTAGCGATGCAAACAGGTTTTCTGTAAGGGGTAAGTTTAGGGTTAGGGTTAGGTTAGGGGATAGAAAATATTGTTTGGTCCCTATCAGGGCTGGATTGGTAATCGGGCATACCGGGCATTTTCCCGGTGGGCCGACGCACTTAAGGGGCCGACAGAATGTTTTTTTTTGCCGAAAACCATCACGCAGGGACAGCGAGCAGCCAGTGGCCCATTGGATTGTCTCCTGTATAGACAGCGTAAACCATCCAATCACAATGCTCTATGGACGGAGCGATGAAATATTTTGCTCCGCCTATATAAAGATCGCATCACTCCAACTTCTTCCTCGTCGGCTTTTCCCACGTTTTCACAGGAGATTTATCAAGAACAGGCTTGCTCTGCGGTGAGTGATGCGGGCCAAAGAGCAAGGCAGGAGGAGAAGAAGAGAGTAGCTGAATTGTTAAAGTGCTTGATAGGGACTCGCAACGGAGGCAGGAATCTAACCTATCCTAATGTGTGTGCGCGGCTGCGCGCCATGAGTGTAGAATGCGTAAACACTTTTTAATAAAACGTAAATTCGTCCCACGCGATTTTTTAGCCAAGTCAGTCAAGTGTGTTCATAGAGGTTTCCATGGGCCAATGCGAATAAAGCTAGATTTAAATTAAAAAAGACATGATATTGTCGGACCTGACGGTTTATTCTTATCCAAAACAAGATGTGATATGAGTGTGATACATAGGCTACATACATACACTACCAGTCAAAAATTTTTGAACAGTAAGAAAGATCCAATAGAAAGATCCTGTGTGTGTGTGTGTGTGTGTGTGTGTGTGTAAAAATAGCCTGCAAATAGTGATTTTGTGTTTCTTTTGGTAAGTAACAGAGTTCCCCGCATGTAGCTTAGTTAATTGTTCTGGGAATCAAAATGGCTTTTGTTTTCCACAATTCGTAACATTCTAATTCAGTATTCAAACACAAAGGCTTGGTTTCATAGACAGGGCTTAGACTAAGCCAGGATTAGGCCATAGTTCAATTAGGACATTTAAGTAATTTTTATAAACGTGCCTTAGAAAAAAACATTACTGGTGTGCATCTTGAGACAAAACAAAGGCACTGATATTATTTAAGATGAGTCAGTGCAAGTTTCTTTCATTTGAAACAGCTCAGATTTACATTTTAGTCTAGGACTAGGCTTAAGCCTGGTCTGTGAAACCGGGGGATAAAGTACTACATATTAAAGTGTGTATTCTAATATAATATTCTATGTATGTAGAGTCTGCCCATCAAGGTTAGAGTGCCAGCCTCAGGCTGAATTACACAAAGACTAGACCTCTGCCAAAAGTAATCTGCATGTGTATTTTAAATGTAAAACTCAAGCTACAAGTAGTTAATCATAGTTTAGTAAAATAGTGTTAGATTCATCCCAGAATCTGCCCCACCTAAATGTATGGTCAGAATTTACTTTCACATTTATTATGTTGTCTTAATGATACCTGTAAACAGATCTCTTCTACCTCTCTTTTTTTTTTTTAATATAAACACTTAATAGTGTATTCATGAGCACAAAAACAGCCTGTCTACATACATGTTTAATATTCTCTACAAATATGTTTTCCTAACTCAGAGGGAATAGAGAGTGTTGAGATTGTGGAGGTAAATAATGTGGTCATTCTGGCCACAGAGCTGGAGCAGAATGCTGTAGATCTTACAGTCACATGCCAGGGAAGGTAAATATTCCTTCAATATGGATTTATTTTATAAACTGTATATAGGCTTTACTGTTTTCGGCTGTTACTGTTTTATAATAGTCTTAAATTGATAATAATGATGGCTGTTGTAGAACATAAAATGTGTTATGCAAAGTTATTAATCTTTTATATTTGCTTGCCAGCCTGCCAAATCAAGTCTGCACTGTGGTATCTGATGCAGACTGCACAAGCACTGTTCAGGCCCTACAGTGTAATGCTGTGACTCCAACCTCTGAGTGTCAGATGGTGCTGCGACAATTTTTCAACAACTCTGGCACGTTCTGTATCAACGTCTCTCTAACCAATGATGTCAGCTTGGCAGTAACCAGTGCAAAGCTCAGCGTGGCTATAGGCAAGTGTCATATAAATTCAAAGCATATCTAAAATAATAAAATGTATTTTCCTGACCATACCCTATGACCTCACTACTCCACAACTTATCCTGTTAAAACTGCAGACACAAATTCATCAAGGAACATGGCTGGAGCAACACTGGGAGTCCTGGTTTTTATTTGTGCTGTGGGGGCCATTGCATTTACATACAAGTAAGACACCAATACACATATGGGTTTTATCAAAATTAATATTAATAGTATGTTATTGTGTGCTGCCTAGTTAAATGTAAATGAAGTTTATGTACATTAAAGTAACCCTCAAGGTATATTTTTCTATCCAGGCGATTTAAGGAGTACCATCCACTGAGAGATTATAATGCAAGCAGCAGTTACAGCTCTGGAAGAAGATCAGTGCCTTTAATGCTGTGGAACCTTCTGAGCCGGAGATCCACTGCAGAGAGCCGCCCCCTCCTGCTTGGGCGAGTGGTGTGAAAAGCTGTCCACTTCTGCTTTAAGGCATATTGCATAGTCTGTACAATCTCTCAATAATTAAATAATAATTCAATATGTACAATGAGGGCCTCATTGTACTGTAATAACAAAATGTCATACGTAATATGCCTTACATTATCTAAATGATGTTTTATTGTATGTGGCAGTTGCTGAATAATTGAGTATATTGTGTGTCATCATAAAAAGTTGCAGATATTTCCTGTCAGTGGTTAGGTTTTCTTGGGTTGCAATAATCTGACTTTTTCTCCTTCGGTTATTTGTTTTGTCCCTAGGTGTCAATCTAGAGATATAGGGTTGTAACTTTAACTATGAAAGATATAGTGCAGTGCACAGGACAATGCAAATTGGTGAAAAACCAAGCAGTTTACTTACATTATTTACAGAAGGTGGGAATAAAAAGTACAAAAGGGGTACAAAATGTAAAAGAAAAAACTAATCTACACTCTTTAACAAAAATCAAAGTACAGTGGGTGGCACTCACCCCTTACCTAACATTTATGTGGATCTGTTATGTGAAGCATCTTCAGTTATGTAAATCTAATCATTCTATAAGCAACCCAAGTAAACTGCTTGATAGGAATATTGTCTTATTTAAAATCATCAGATAATAGTCAGGTTATTACAGACCACAAAAACATTGTCAGCTGTTCTTCAAATAATCTATTTAACTAAAAGCAAATGTTTCAAGAAAAGCCTTGCACCTTTTCAACATTTATGCAACATTAAGAAGCTTTATGAAGTAAATTTATATTTACATTAAACTACGATGTAAATTTATATTAGTGTTTAACCATCAATAATTAAAAATATTATGTATTTTCCCCATTTACCTTTGCAGAACTACCTTTCCTTTATTATAATATAATTTTATTTTATGTTAATTTTATTATTTAGAGCAGTGCTTCTCAAACCTGTCTAAACCCCCCACCACTGCACATTTTGGATGTCTTCCTCATCTAACACACCTCATTCAACTCATCATCTAAGTAGAGCTTGCAAAACCCCAAATGGGTTTGTCTGATATGTGAAACATGCTAAATGTGCAGTGGTGGGGGATCTTCAGGACAAGCTTGTGAAGCACTGATTTAAAGCCTCAACTTTTTTTAACAAACGATGTGTTAATTTGATATCTACTCAAAAGGTCTGATGTTTTATTTATAAATAATAATAGCCATACTAATGACTTATTACCCCTAAATAAAAACATCTCCTGACTCTTTTTGACTTTTTGTCTGGTTCTATTAAAAACAATCCTGCTTGAAGTAATCACAGTGACAAAAACATATGAGAAGAAGCTAAAAACTCAAATAAGTTATATCTTTAGGTTTTTACAGTGACTTGTGAACTTGTGACAAGACTCAGGTTTCATCACAGTCTTCTCTGCTCTGTGTTTATTTTTGTTTTTCCTCTTTAACGTAGTCTGTCTCTCAAGCTTGTTTGGAACACAGTCAATAACCACTCAAAGGACAATGCATTAGTACTTGATATGCAAAGCATAATATAAAATATATTAGGTCTTTTACCTCTCTGTTGTTTCATTCATTCATTCATTCAAAAAAAAAAAAAAAAAGCTGCTGGTTTATTATGCTCTCAAATTTATTATAATCTCTATGTACCTCTGACTAGAACCACCCTTTAAATATGCCACCTTCTCAGTTTGGAAATCTTTTCAAACAAAACAATGTCTACATAATTTGGTGTCTTTCAATCATTTTAAAATTGTTATGCAAGGTCTAGAGAATGAATTAATGATGTGTAAATATGTTTAAGGTTGTATGTTTTATGTTTGTTTTATTATATATTGTTACTCGTATGCCCCTGGTTCTGAAAATATGAAAAGCTGAGTATCAGTTAACTGATATATTATACATGAAATTTGTTACTGTGCGCTTATACTTTCTATTTTGGAATAAATGTAAAAAAAAAAATGCTTGATAAGATGTATACTTTGTTTTGGGAAAATTCATTTCTAATACCTGTACAATCAGTACTGCTGCACCACAAGGTTGCATTCTTTCCCCACCTCTCTTTCTTCTCCCTCTACACCAATGACTGCACCTCTACAGACTCCTCTGTCAAGCTCCTGAACTTTGCAGATGACATTAAACTCATTGGCCTCATCCAGGACGGTGACGAGTCTGCATGTAAATGACTGTCTGGTGCAGTCATAACAACCTGGAGCTGAACACACTCAAAACAGTGGAGATGATAGTGGACTTCAGGAGAAACACCCCAGCACTCCCTCCACTCACTGTCATGGACAGCGCTGTGGCTGCAGTAGAGTCATTCAGCCCAGCAGAGGTTGTATTTCCTTCACCAGCTGAGGAAGATTAACCTGCCACAGGAGCTTTTCACACAGTTTTACTCAGCTGTTATTGAGTCGGTTCTGTGCTCTTCTATAAGAGCCTGGTTTGGGTCAGCCAGCAAATCAGACTTAAGAAGACTGCAACGGACTGTTAGGAAGCTGAGAGGATAATTGGTGTGCACCAGCTAAACGGGCAGGTAACATCATTAGGTTTATTATGCTCTCAAATTTATTATAATCTCTATGTACCTCTGACTAGAACCACCCTTTAAATATGCCACCTTCTCAGTTTGGAAATCTTTTCAAACAAAACAATGTCTACATAATTTGGTGTCTTTCAATCATTTTAAAATTGTTATGCAAGGTCTAGAGAATGAATTAATGATGTGTAAATATGTTTAAGGTTGTATGTTTTATGTTTGTTTTATTATATATTGTTACTCGTATATATGTATATTTGTGCCAGGCCATCTCAGTGAGGTTTGTAAATTTAACGACAAAATGCTGACAATGTGTTAGCAATGTGCCATTACAATTAATTACTATTACTAATTTTTGTTCAGTGTTTTGCAATCCGGTTCCTAGAGGCACATTAACAGTAGGGGAGAGAAGGGCACAAGTTTCACACTCAGTTTGTGAAAATCCTCATGGGTTCAGAGTGTAATTTCTTCACATAAATATCACACATCTAGTGTCTGGTGCAGTCATAACAACCTGGAGCTGAACACACTCAAAACAGTGGAGATGATAGTGGACTTCAGGAGAAACACCCCAGCACTCCCTCCACTCACTGTCATGGACAGCGCTGTGGCTGCAGTAGAGTCATTCAGCCCAGCAGAGGTTGTATTTCCTTCACCAGCTGAGGAAGATTAACCTGCCACAGGAGCTTTTCACACAGTTTTACTCAGCTGTTATTGAGTCGGTTCTGTGCTCTTCTATAAGAGCCTGGTTTGGGTCAGCCAGCAAATCAGACTTAAGAAGACTGCAACGGACTGTTAGGAAGCTGAGAGGATAATTGGTGTGCACCAGCTAAACGGGCAGGTAACATCATTACAGACCCCTCTCACCCAGGCCACAACCTGTTGGCACTTCTCCTCTCAAGCAGACGCTACAGATTTCTGTGCACTACATCTAGGCACAAAAACAGTGTTTTTCCCCAGGCCATGTCCAACTTTAATAACTAACACATCAATTTACGACCTGCTTTTTGTTATAAATTATAATTCAGTGCTCTTGTGGCGTTAGGCAATATGTAAATACATATTATTTATACAGGTATACAGCACACAATGCACACATCTGTACATAAACTGTCAAATCTAATGTAAGTTACTTTATTGTTTTTTTATATATATATATATATTATTATTATTATTATTATTATTTTACTTCATTTTTACTAATTTAAATGGGTAACACTTTAGCATAAGGACCAATTCTCACTATTAACTAGTTGCTTATTAGCATGCCTATTATTAACATATTGGCTGTTTATTAGTACTTATAAAGCACATATTCTGCATGACCATAATCCTACCCAATACCTAAACTTAACA